CCCCCCCCCTTTTGTTTTTTAAACTGTTTTCTGTTCGAGGGGGTAGAGTCGGGGTAGGGCTGCAGCAGACCACGGCCGCTGCGGTCATGACCGCGGCCGCGGGTGTTTCATAGGGTGGTGCCTCTTGATTAGGTCCTACAGCAACCGCCAACCAACCTCGAAAGTATGGAAAAACATCCTTTTTGCATGGAACAAACTGTTCCCCACTACCACCCAATCCCCCACCAGCAAGATAGAAATTCTGAACCAAATAATATTCGAAAATTCCCAGATACGTGACCAGGGAGGGGCCCCCTTCCCAGCTGATGGTTCGTCGGGTACCTTCGGAAGGGCATGGGCTGAAAAAGGGATCCTCCTCGTAAAGGACATCTGGGATGAGGGGGAGTCCAACTGGGTTCTGGACAAGGTGATCCTCGCCAAGTTACCGCGCCGGCGCCTGAGAAACACCCGGGGCAATCTGAAAAAACTGAGGGATGCTCTCCCGACACACTGGACCCTCCTTCTAAAAGCAGATACGGAACACGCCCGAGGCACATCGCTGGCGCACCCGGACAAGGAAGGAGCCGTCCTGAAGATCCAAGGCCAGACTCTGAACTCTGGCCTTGAAGTGCAGAAACGGCGCCTCCAGGGTAAGCCCAGTCAGTACGGTCCTCTCAAAATGGAGGAGGAATACGTCATCCCTTCTTCCCTCGGCCTTTCCGAGGTCAGGGTAGTAGAGTACAGGAATAGGTGCAGAATAAGGCAGCCTCTTTAGTTCTGCTCCCTGGAGGCCAGAGCCAAGCCTGATTGAACCTCTCCTCCGGGGGTGGAGCATAGCGGATCCTTGAACTACCTTCGTCTCCATCCACCAATACAAAACCAAGATGGGCGTTAAATTCCAAAGACAGAGAATCACCAAGAAGCCAGTCTCCACGGCCTTGTGCAGATGGTCCCTGTCCCACCCCCACAGGGTGCAGGAAGCCAATCTATTTAAACTATGGACTGCCCTCAAGAAAATACCTTCGCAAAGGCAAAGCTCCCTTACGTGGTTACAATCATTGCAGGTCACCCCGTCCTCACTATGGCTGATCTCTAAAGGGATGGAGGTGGAAGCTACCTGCGCGAGGTGCTACTGGGGCTGGGAATCCTTCTCGCATGTCTGGGTGGACTGCCCCCTCTTGTACCAAGTATGGGAATGGTGGAAAGACCAATGGAAGCAAATTGAATGCTTTGGAAACTCATTCGACTGATCAGATTTTTGGATTCTCTCTGGCATCCCACCTCCCGGCCAATCCTACGACTTTATAGGTTATGTGGCCCTGGTTTGCCGAGGGGTGGTCATGGAAGCAATATGGGCAGCTCGCAACTCCCGGATCTTCAAGAATAAACAGATACACTTGCACCAAACAATAGCTTCCATCAAAAACAATATCCGCCTAATGATCGTCTCCGACTGGCTGCGTTCTCGCAAACCAAGCAACCTCAACCTGTATGGGTTCAAGAAGACATGGAACAGAGATAACAAGTTCGCCTCAGTCAGCTTCGACAGAAAACTAAGCTTCGCCTCTTGGCTCACCCAGTTCCGATGACATAAATACGGCTCCGGTCCGGCATAGGCCCAAGCCACAGGAATCCAACTTTCCTCGGAAGGCAGAGGTGTTTTTCAGACCCACGTTAGGGTCGCTGTCATAGGCCTCACAAGTGGGCACCCCCAACAGAACAGCAGTTATGTCTGCGCACAAGCTCCACTTCAGGCTTCCAGCATTCCCGCCTATCTTCTCAGCCTTTTGTCCGGGTTGGTTCAATTAGGAGGGTTTCCCGGCCTCCGCATGATAAAACTCTTGTGTGAAGTCCTACAAATGACCTTTCTAGGCTATCAATCAGATTCAATCTCCCACGGAGGCGGCCGTGAGCGGCCATGACCGCGTGGCCGCTCGACTTTGTGGCCGCTTGGCGGCCAGTTAGGGGGGGGGGGGGGGGGGG